AACTCCCGTCCACTCCACCCTCTTTGCGCCAGAGCCCAGGGCGAGTGGCTATGAATGCAGTTTAGTGCATTGGCCCTTTATGAGACAGCCTATGTCTTTAGGAGGCCCCTGCCCTCCTCGGCAGACAATTCCCAGTGATTTTCACAGCCAGATGTTATGTGGGTGCCTCTTCCCAGCTCTGGTGCTCTGGGCTGGGGAACCCAGCATTGGGTTGAGACCCCACACTCCTGAGGGGGAAACTTTGCAGCTGAGATATCTCTCCAGAACCTCAGCCGCACCCCTATGGGAGTGGGGTCAGCCCTTTCTGCATCTCTGCCCTTCCTACCAGTCTCAGTATGGCTTTATCTGTAAATCCTTGGTCATAAGACTTACACTCAGAGGAGGTGCATGTAACATCCACCTAGTCTGCCACCTTGTTTGTTCTTGCTGGTTCTTCTCAACATCTTTTTTCTTGGAAATTTTAACAGTTCAGTAGTGAGGAGAGGAGGCAGGGATGCTCTGGGCAATGTGGAACAGAGGACTTCAGGTAAAGCAGACTCGAGATTTGGTGAGACAGTCTACACAGTAAGGAACTTTTATATTTCCAACCAGGCTAAAAATTTTTTAAGTGTGGATCATCTGTTTTGTTCAAAAATAGCAGATGTTTTACAGGATTTGGCACTGTCTGCAACCCATACTTTACATATGTTGAAGGAAACATTTAATTGTAAAAGTCAACCTAGGGCTGATTCAGAAAAACCCTTCCACTGAACCTAAGAGCAGGTTTAGGTGAATTCATGCCCAGACCCCAAGCGTGTGTAAGGAGGTCGCCTTTCATTATAAGGACATGAAGATGCTCACTACAAGTATTTATCCGTTCAGATCACAGTTCAACAAACTTTAGGGATTATGCAAGACACTTCGATTATACAGGAATAAAGGGACACTATGAAATAAAAGGGCTGAAGGCTAAGGGAAAGTTCTCTGGCTCTGACCAGTGTGGCTCAGTTAGTTGGAGCATCATCCCATAACCAAAAGTTTGCATGTTTGATTCCTGGTCAGGGAACACACCTAGATTATGGATTCAATCCCTGGTCTGGGAATATATGATCCCTGGTCTGGGCACATACAGGAGGCAACCAACTGATGCTTCTGTCTTGCATCAGTGTTTTTCTGTCTCCCTCCCTTTCTCTATAAAAGCAATGAAAAAAAAAACCCTCGGGTAAGGAATAAAGAAAAAGAAAAACTCCCTTAATTCCTCTGTTCTAAAATGACTTCCTTGCTCTTAGGTCATTCTTTATGCCTTAATAATCTGAGTGCACCTAGGAAATCAATATTGCATGGAAGCAACTTTTAAACTGGGCACTTGTGACCTCATTATATATTCGTTCGTGTGATATAGGACTCTACTTGAGTGTGGTTGTAAGTAAGCAGATGCATCCATGACCCTAAAACAACAACAGGAGGTGATCTAAGAACAGTTGCTTTTCTTGAAAGAGAAACTGCAGCATCAGGTACAGTGTCACCTTTGGAAGTGACTGAAACCCCACATTAGACCTGTGTCAAACCAGCAAGGCCAGACACTAACAGCAAAGTTGTCAGGGGTTGCAGACACGGGGCTGCGAGGGAGGCAGACATGCTGATGTGAGATGGGGATATGACCCAGCCCCTCTCCCCTCCACCTGCTGTCCCCAGAGCCCCGTTTTTGAGCCCCCTCCTCCTGTGTTTGGGCCTTAGTGAAGTGTCCCCTGGCCAGTACTCTTGGGAAATCAAATGAGTCAGATCCACCCACATAGACCTGACAAGTATCCGAACTAGTAAACTGATGAAGGGGAAGAAAGCTCTCATTATAATTTAGCTAGTCAACTTCAGACCAGTGGATCGTGCTGGTAAAAGATAAACTGAGGCACACTAAAATTATTCTGCAAGAGTTTATCAGAGCATGCATTGGCTGGAACCAGGCAGCACAAAATGGCTAAAAATGCCCCACTGACGTGAGCAGGGGCAAGGTTTCTACAGAGGAGTGGTGGAAGCAAAGCAGAGAAATTACCTTATTGGTTAGAGTCCACGTGGTTACCTTATTTAGGGAAGCCCAGTTGGCTGTTTGTGATTGGTTGTTCCTCAGTTTCCCTTTGTCAGGTCCCAGGGCAGGCAGTGGCTTGAGTTCCAGTTAGCTCATGTGGGCCGCCATGCATTAGAGCCACCTCGGTCTGATGACCTCCTTGTTTAGAGGTTTTGACAGCATGTGGGTCACAGCCAGGGGAGAAGAGTCTTGGAGGTGACACTGGCCAGGGTGTGGGGGAGAGGAAGAAGATCCCAGCTGAAGAATTTATATGGGAGGGTTTCCTGTGCCAGACTCCATGGAATGACCTAAGAAACTTTAGGTGCAAGACTTGCCTTCTGGCCGTGTGAGTTCCCCGGGCGCGGGCCTCTGAGGAGAGAGGGTGCCAGCCCGCCTGGCAGATGAGAACCTTTCCACACGCGGGAGCTCTGGTTTTCATGATGAACTGATCAGGTGCCACAGAAGCCCAGATTCTGCGGGCAGGCTGTTGTCCGTCTAGGTCTGACCTCTCTCCTGCTGGTGATGTACCTTCAGCACATTTCATAACTTTTGTGCCTCAGTGTCCTCATCTGGAAAGAGGCTTCCAGAGTGTTACTTGGAAGAGCTGAATGAGTCATTCACATGATGGTGCAGCCAGCACAGTGCCTGGCTCGTCAAGACCCTCGGTAGCTGTCAGCCATTGTTTGTACTGATGGTTGTATGTGGCTGTCCCCTAAACTTGTGGAATATGGGTCACATGCAGGAAGGGACCAACTCTTAGCCAGAAAATAGTGTTCGGGGGTCCAGGGCCTGCAGACTTGCCTCTGGATAAAGAGCACAGGTTTTCCAAGGTGATTGCCCTGGTGCGGGACTGGGCATAACCATCAGACACCACGTCTCCTTGCCAATGGTGGGCACACAGTGGCGAGCAACTGCTCTTTGTGTGACAATGCCAATCACTGTAGTAACTCTATAACATTTGAGTCTTCTCATTTAGACATTCTAGAGGGCAAAAACCTTGCCCTATTCTTTCCCCTATATTCTCTCAATATATACTTCCTGGATGACAAACAAGGTTTGTAGAGAATTCAGAATAAACGGAAGCACATCCAAAAAATGAAATAGATGGAAACAGTGAAGACTAGAGAAGGGATGGTGGGCAGACGAAGCCTTCCTCAACAAGGCATCTGGAAGAGGTCACTGAGGTCAGGGACACAGGCCCATGGGTCTTGGAGAAGGAAGGTGCAGTTCTGACACCATCAGCCTGTCGTGTCTGCTGGCCTGGGCAGCCACCAATGGTGCCACTAGTGGAAGTCAGAGGTCGTCCTAATCTGGTGGCCATGAGGAGGCATGGCAAGCACCTGGGGCTGGAGAGGAGGGAGGCCGTGACTGAGGCCATGGGGACAGCGCTGGCTTTGTTTTGGAGGTGGCAGTGAGTGTGCTCCACGCAGGGCGCAGCCTCCCGGGTTCCCCGACCACTCACTGCAGCTCTCACTGCCATTTCCACTCTCTTGTGTGCCCACCATAGCTGTGTGAGCCTCCGGGTCACTCCTCTGGTCCCTACAGGTGTGTCCTGCCCTGGGAGAGTTCGCATGGGTGTCCTGTAAGACTCAGGGTGAGGGGCTGGTTCCGAGGTGTCATATGTCAAACACTCCCACTGTACCCAACACCATTTACTCAGGATCTAAAATACTGCCCATGGAGTGATTAGAGGTAAAATTGTAGACTTTTAGAGTTAAAGCGACCCTTGAGATATCTAATGCTCCTGAATTTTACAGATGAGGAAACTGAAGCTTAGAGAGGGTGAGTTACTTACCCAAGATCACACAGCCAGCTTAGGGCCACAGAGGAAACTGGAAGTCTGATGTCCATTGTACCGCTTACTCCATTCCACGTTCCCAACAAATGCAGACTTTGTCAAGGTTTAGGTTGACTCACCAGCTCAATTTTCAGTGGTTTTACTTGAGGGGAAAACTTGTTACACATCTCTACTGCAGTTATTTGTAGGAGTGCAGCTGCTGGAAACCAGAATTTCTGTAAAATTTTGGAAGATGGACCATTAAAAAACCCAGAGGGAATGCATTGGCTTGTATGTACTGAATGAAGGCTGTACATGGTTTTGTTAATTTCTGGGGTGTTCTTGTCATTCTTGAGAAGATTTAGGTGTCTCTGAATGCACTGTCATACACTGCCCGAGCCTCCAACATGTTGGCCATGGAACTTGGTGGCAGGATGGCTCCTGCACAGGCCATCTGCCGGCAAAGCAGTGAGTGGTAACATCACCTGCCTTGTAGCACACGTTTTGTGCCCTACCCTCTCCCACCCAGCTCCTCCTCTGGGCTCCTGCACTGCAGCTCAGGGGCTTCGTCAGTGCACAGGCACCACGTGTCTGTCCACGGCCTTCAGGCAAGCCTGGAAGGAGGGGTGTGGGGACAGAGCTTTCTGCTCGGGGAATGGCCCTCTCAAGCTGAATATTGTGCCTGTGCCATGTAGCTTACGTATCTGTGTTATATATGCATTGTGCTTATAATGTGTATTGTACTATAATGGTCATGCAAATGGGTTACAGTAAGACAATTAATAATAATAATAATAACAATAATAATAATTTTAAAAGCAGTCACACTGGCTTGGCCAGGGCCAGCACTCTGCTTCATTCATCTAGAAACAGTCTTGGAGAGTGACTGTGGGCTGCTGGCCTGCAGCCCCCACTCGTCACTCCCCAGAGAGGAGAACAGGGATGTCCCAACCCTCCAGCCGGCTCCAGGTCCTCCAGGTGGTGGTGTCCTGCCATCTGGAACAGCGTCTTTTTTCCTTCAAGGCAGGTGTCTCCTCAGGTTTACACAAAGCCTCCCTCCAGGCTGAGCATGGTCTTGCTGTTGGCCACACCCACAGCACCGTCTGTCCTCCCGCGTGCCCACTCTCCACATGGTCACTTGGAACCAGCCCGTCACCCTGAGCCTGTGCTGTGTCCCCGCAGGTATCCCAGGCCGCCGCAGACCTCATGGCCTACTGTGAGGCCCACATCCGGGAGGACCCTCTCATCGTCCCTGTGCCCGCATCGGAGAACCCGTTCCGGGAAAAGAAGTTCTTCTGCACCATCCTCTGACTCTGTCTACGGCGAGGCTCCTCCTTTTCCAGAATGCCCCGTGGGGACCCGCATGTGCATAGCTTTAGGGAACCCCGCCTGTCCCTGCCTGTCCCTGCCCAGCCACGATCGCATGAGTCGGTCTCATCTGCCCCTTGGTTTTCTTCATTACACTAATTTCACTTTTTCTTTTCATTTTCAAGGTATTTTCATTATTGGCAAAGAAAATAGACATTTTTGTAGTTAAATAACAAATGTGCTAAATAAAAATAAATATGGATTTCAGGGCTTAAATTTTTAAACATCAGTTCCCAAGTTTAAATACATCCAGTTAATACATTTCAGTGGATAATTTATTGAAAAGCTATACCCCAAAATCCCCATTCCCAATAATTCAGCATCAAATAAGAGCACTTTGACCAACTGAAATACATGAGTAAAACTTTCACCTCCTCTCCTGGAGAAAACAGTTTGGGAAGGCCTCTGTTCCTGCTTTTCCATCATCCTGTTAAAAAGGAAACAGCCACCCTGGCCAGGTAGCTCAGTTGCTTGGAGTGTCATCCCCATTCACCAAGGTTGCAGGTTTGAGCCCTAGTCCAGGTACATACAAGAAGCAACCAATGAGTGTATCAATGAGTAGAACAACAAATCAACGTTTTCCCCTCTCTCTCCACCCCTCACACGTCTTCTCTCTCTCTCTAAAATCAATCAATAAAAAGTTTTTTAGAGAAAAGAAACCACCCACAGCATCAACAGGTTGTTTCTTAAACCTCTCCTGAGGACATGTTTATTGATTTTAGAGAGAGAGAAACAAAGTGAGAAAGGAACACCAAAGTGAGAGAGAAACATTGATCAGTTCTCTCCTGTATGTGCCCTGACCAGAAATCAAACCCACAACTTTTTGGTGTACAGGACAACTCTCCAACCAACTGAGCCACCTGGCCAGTGCGCGTCAACAGTTTTCTTAACTTGTGTGGCCCAGACCCTACCAAGAGCCCAGCCCCCTGTATTCCACCAGTTGTCACTGACCACCCCGGAGGTGGTCCTTCCACAGATGTAGATGTGGGGTGCACACTGGAGCAAGCTGAGCCGTGCATGCACACAGTGACTCCAGCCGCCAAAGGCGCCACCTCCCCTCGCCACACACCTCTGCCTGCTTCCCTGACTTGCTCCCCATCGTGAGTCTAACTCGGGCAGTGTTAATAAGGGCCACTCTGAGTTCGACACAGGCCCTGTAGGGTTTCACTGTGGTGGCCCTGCCCCAGAGGAGTGAGTCACAGGAATAGCAGATCTGGGCATGGACAAGTATTCACTTACTTAATCCTCAAACAATAAATAAACACCATGAGCATATGTGTTTTAAAGCAAGGGAAATTGAGGCACAGAAAAATGATGGTTTCCCAAGGGTTATAGGTGGTGGGCAGGAAAACAGGGGCTTGAGCACAGGCAGCCTGGCCCAAGCCCTGCCCAAACCCCTGGGCTAGGCTGCCTTCCAGGTCTACCTGTTTACAGGCAGGCAGACCTGCAAACAGCCTCAACAACACTGTGTGAAGCACAGTGGCCGTGGCTGACTCAGTGGCACACACCTCTTCCCCTCTGTACATTAATTAGGAGGCAGGTCGGGCCTGCGTTCCTGCAGTTCCTGGAAGATGACACATGGTTGCCCCAGTGGGAGGCCAATCAGCTCTTGGTTTTTCCTAGACAAACTTTCAGGCCCTTCCAAAAATGCACTCACACCAAGCTGAGGAAAGAAGAGACTACCCTGCAGGCGCACAGAGCGCCTCATCTTTCCCGTTGTTGGGAAACAGCCTCTGTCCCTGGTCCCGACGGGGCTTGCTCCGTGAGCAAGCCATTGTGTTCCTGAGACATTCTAACCTGTGACATGGGGATAATGGTGATATCTCCTCCTGCCTTTCTGTGCAGGACACAGAAGTGCTACAAAGATGAAAGCTGTGATTATCATGTAAAACAAATACATGTACTGAATGCAGAGCTGTAATATAGGGAAGACTGAATGGCTTCAAAGACGCCATGGTTCCACTGGAAAGGCTGATATAAAATTGCCTGCAAAGAGGCAGATATAATTTTCAGATCAGTTAATGATTTGCCACCCTTATAAATGGTTCTAGTACATTTTCATTCTTTGCTTCTTTTGTTGAAACCCATTCTTAGCTTCATTAAAGCTCATTGGTAATACTAGTGTTATTAAATAAGATCTCAGGTCCTTCTCTCTCTGTCTGTGACCAGGATCTCTTTAGCCTGTGGCCCCCGCCAACACCATTAACCTAATAAAACAAAGCACAATCCATAAAAGCACATCAGAGAAGCTGAGAAAGTGGGACAGCACAGAAACTGACTAAATCAGGTCAAGAAGAACAATGTGCTTCCCATTCCCCTGTTCGTCTTTACTTTTTCTGTCCACATTCTGCCTGCCTTCTCCTCTCTTCCATCTACTCCTCAAGGATGTCTTTTGTCCTTTACTATACTTTTTCCTTCCAAACCTGTGGCCTTTGTGCGGCTCACCCCTGGAGTGTCCCTGAACTCAAGACCATCTTCTTAAAGGCGAGCTCAGCCTTATGAGCTATGAAACACACAAACATGTGACTGGTCCCCTCCCACTTCTTGCTACCATCAGGAGGTGAATGGTATGAGCGCTCCTGTGGTAGGCAGTTGTCACTGTGCCATTGGGTGCATGTTTCCAGTTTGGCTGTCCAGCATCTGACCCCCCCCTTCCCATAGGAAGGAATCACCCCTTATACATCAAGTCAGTGAGAGGTAGTGTTCCCCCACCCATGGATGCTCAAATGGAGAGGTCTTCCCAGTGTTTCAGGTGCACCCCCTTTCTAGCACTGGCTGAGAGCTGAAAGGGAGTGCCCAGTCACCCGGGGTGAGCTGCACGGACTCCCTGCTTGGGATGTGACCTGAGAGCCAGTGACAGAAATGACAGCATGCTGAGATTTATTTCATGGGAGCTGTGGTGGTTGGGGACAGTGGTGGCCCAGCAGGTGTCCAGGACTGCTGTGTCCCCTGGTAACAGCGCTGGGGTGGCAGAGTCCTGAGCCGAGTGTTCCTGCTGGTTCCTTGGCCCCACTGAGTTGTCTCAGCTCCCACCCATTTTCCTAGGTTTCCTTCCTAGCTTTCTGTCAACTCTTTGAGCCCCAAGTTACACCCAATAAATTCCTTACTCTTCCCTGAAATAGCTTGGGTGGGATGTAATATATGACCTAAAACTCTACTCCACAGTGTGTACATAACAGGAATATGTGCCTATGTTTACCAGAAGAAATGAACTATGTTTGTAGCAGCACTATTCACAATAACCCCAAACTGGAAGGCACCCACATGCTCACATTGAATGGATAAACTGATAATGGTACGTTCATATGTGGAATCCTGCAGGGCAATAAGAATGAGTGAACACCCATGCAGCCACATGCTGCCATGTGGCATGGAGCTTGAGGAAAGGCACGTCCGTGCTATGTGGTTCCATTTCCATGGAGTGTGAGACCCGCACAGCCCTCTCTGCTGCTGCAGGGGGGCGGCTGGTTACTCTCCAGGGGCTGGTAGCCAGGAGGAGCACAGGCAGGGTATGCTTCTGGGGTGTTCTGTTTCTTCTGTCCAGTTTGTGAAAATTCTTTGAGCTATACACATTCCAGGTGTGCACTTTTCTGTACTTATGTTATACTTCAATAAAAGTTGGTTTTTGTGGCTAGCAGTCAAGAATCCTGCTTTGTTTTTGTTGTTTTTTTTTTGTTTTTGTCTGTTTGTCTTTTTGGCACTTTGCTCAACCTTTCTTTACTGCTCTTTGGGTCTAAATTCATCCTGGGGCACTTCAGAGTGTATCTGGCAACATTTTGAAATAGGAAGTACTTCCAATCCACAGCTCTCTGGACAGAGAACAGGCTTTGAGCACCAGGCGACAGTCCCCTGTGAACAGGGCCTGTGAATGCCAGGCTATGGAACTTATGTGTTTGGGGAAAACAGTGAGGAATCCCACTGGGATCTCCCACTCAGAGCTTCCTCTCCGTAACTTAGGCAGGTGGCATCCTCCCAGCTCCTCTTCCCTCTGTCAGGAATGAATAGAGTGGGTGTCTGTCACAAGTCCCAAACACCAGACTCTACCTCCTGAAAGGAATCACACCTAGGCCGCAGCTGGCTCTGTGATGACGTGTCTTCTGCATGAAGCCTGGTCACCCCCACCAACCACCCAGGTAAATGCCTCCTTTGACTCTTTGCCTTCCAGTGGCTGTCAGCCCCCTCCCAGACCTCTGAAGGTTTCTGAACGTTCCCAGAGCCATCACCTTTGCTCTCAGCTACCGTGTGGCCTCGGCCATTCTCGTAGATCTGACAGGTCTGGTCCAGGAAGGGCGTAGGACTCCTGCTCCGTGGGTCATTCCGCGCCCCTGCCCGCCCCATAGACCTCCACCACCTCTGTGAACCCCATCGCACCTTCCCTCGGAGGGGGTTGGGGGAGGGGAGCAAACCGCAGGTCAGAAGGAATTTCGTCCGGTGCCTGTTCAAACTGGAGATGAAAATAATAATGACAACTAACGTTTCCGTCCCGAGAAGAACATGGACTTTGCTAGTAGATTCGACAGACTCTGTTTACACTTCCGTAGCCCTCTGCACACCAGGGCGGTGAGAAGGCACCAGACCACGGCAGGTTTGGGGGAGGACAGCAGACGCCCCCTGCCCCGCCTGGTGTCCGCCTCATCTCCCGGGCAGCACACTACAGTGCTCTCCGGGGCCGGGGAGGGTGCGGCCCAGCGTCGGTGTTGCCGGAGAGAAGTGAGGATAGGCCACGTCCACCCCCACCGGTCGGAACCTGACATCCCGTCCAGCGTCTAATAACACCCCTACCCTTCACACTGTTTTAGCTACAAATAACTCGCTAACTTGTAAAGGTTGGAGCCCAGGTGTGGTGACTGGCCTCCTGCCCGCGTTCTCGTAACCACGGACCTGCAAAGGCTCCCCGCCTCCAAAGCCCTCCGACTCTGGCCCGGTGTCCTCCCCAGAGCCACCTTCGCAGCTCAGTCCCCCACAGACCCTGTGCCCCAGCCGCCCAGCCTCCCGGCCCTGCTGCCTGCTGCCTCAGAGCCTTCGCCCCGCTACCTCCACCGCCTCGCACGCGCCTTCACCGGCTCTGCTCACCCTGACGTCTCAGGTGGAGCTCCGGAGGTTCCCGCCCGCCAAGCCCCCTCCAACCTAGTCGGGCCGTGCGCAGGCGCCGGCCGCGCGGGGGCGCTGTCCCTGAG